GAGACCCATTTCCTTCACTGTCCCAATTCTCCACCCAGCTAACAGGTAAGGTCCAGGGACTCTCATCTTCCACTCTCCTCGCCTTCCCACCCTGCTGACTGGACACAGCCATCAGCTCACAAGGCTGCCTAGGCTCATCCAAACTTCCCCTTACCAAGCACCTTGCCACTCCCCACAGATCCCCTGCCCTGCCTGTGTCTCCCCCCACTCAGCTGGGGTCTCAGCTCCCACTGTGCTCAGCACTGCCCTTGCTGTCCCAGTGGGGGCAGGCCACTGCTTTCCTCACTGCATCAGAGCCAGCGAGAGTCCCCAGTCTGGTGTGCAAGGGGGCAGGGAGCATCTCTCTGTCCCACCGAGTCCCAGGGGTCTGGTTACAGGCAGGCAGGTAGCCTGAGCCTAGCGGCTCCTCCCTGCTGCCAGCCAGGTCATCTGCATTTTCACTGACCATTTCCCTCTCCACCGATTGGTTCCCTGGATTCAAATTCAAACCCTCGGCAGTTACAGGAGCAGGGCCTGGATCCTGTCCCAAAGAGACACAGTCACCCCACAACAGGGTCTCGCAGCTGGTGTCCTGGGGCACCCCAACGGCCAGCCAGCCCCACCCCTCCTGGGTCTGCACAGGGATCTGGGCCATAGGCAGGGCGAGGGGCTTCGTCCCTGGGACCCTCACCCAGCTCACACAGGCCCTCAGCCTCTGAGGCTGCACCACCCAGGGTCTGACACCAGTTCTCTCTGTCCCAGGATCTCGCCACCCCAGGAATGTCTCCCCATTGACCATCCCCTTCCGCTCCCACTGGGGGTCCGAGGGGCCTGACCCCAGGGAACTCCACACAGACATATAGGTTGGGGTCAGGAGTGGGAGCCTGTCCACCTCCCCACCCATCTGGCTGATGGAGTCTGTGGCCTTGGGACCCAGCAAGGGAGCTAGACACCGGGGTTTTCCGCAGGGTCCCCCTGGTTCAGATCTCCAGCCTGCTCAAAGGCAGTGAGGTGGGCATCCACACCCCCCCCCCTTAACTAGGGGCAGCAATTTAGTCTCGAGGTTCCCTGCGGAACTGGCCCCCCGGGATCTATCCCCACTCACCCCGGGGAGGTCCCCTCGGCCTCTCCGCCCCACCACCGCCAGTTCATGCTGCTGCTGCTTCTGCAGCTCTTTCTCGGGCTCTCGCTGTCTCCCACGGTCCTCTTGCTCTCTCAGACTCCGCTCCAATCCCGTCCGTCTCGATCCCCCGATGGGGAACCCGATCGTGAAGACCCCCGTCTGGTCGGGGACAGGAGTCTTGGCGATGCCTGGCTCCCGCTCCAGCTGCTCCCAGATCCTGCTATAGCCCCAGTTGGGGTCAGGAATCTGTTCCTTAGAGCGGTCATCCTCCTCCAGCTGCACGATTAACTCTGCTTTGGTGAACTTTCCAATGCTCAACCCTCTCTTTTTGCACAGGGTTACAATGTCCTTCTTAAGGAGACGGTGACAGGCCGTCACTCCGCTCCTCCCAAGTTGTTGTGGACTCACAGGCCCGTGTGTTCTCAGCTCCCCACGGTTTCCAGGGAGAACCCCTAGTGTGTCAGCCCTTCTCGAGGTCACCACCTCTTTGCCAGGGTCGAGCTGCAGACTCCTCCGCCCCTTGGACTGCTCGCTGCAATCCCCAGGGGAACCCTGTTACTGCACAGTCCTTCTCGCTGGTCACACACTTCCAGGGGTTAACCGCCCCCGAAACCGCCTCCTCTCTGAGCCTTCAGCAGGCCTGGTCCTCGGCAATCCCCCTTCGTGTTACTGCTCCCCAGTCACTTACTGCAGGAAGCACCATCCACGGGGTGCAGTACATCCCACCGCTGCCACCAGTTGTCACGGAGTCCCTGGGCGATGCTCTGGAACTGCTCCCCATGAAGCCAGTCAGGACTCTGGGGTAGTCGCCTTTCTGTGAGCAGACTGTCTTCAGGACACACAGCTCACACAGCTTCCACCTTCCTGGGTCTGACCTCGGAGCATTCAGCATCCTCTGCCTCTCCGTGTGCTTCCCCCAGCGAGTCCGCTCAGGCGGTGCTCCTGGGGAAGCCAGAGGGTCCTGCACCCCAACTTCGCAGTCAGACGTGACTCTCAGCCAGCCAGTAAAACAGAAGGTTTATTAGACGACAGGAACATGGTCTAAAACAGAGCTTGCAGGTGCAGAGAACGGGACCCCTCAGCTGGGTCCATTCTGGGGGGCAGTGAGCCAGATAACCACGTCTGCACTTCACTCCATGTCCCAGCCAGCCCCAAACTGAAAACCCCTCCAGCCCCTCCTCCTCTGGGCTTTGTTCCTTTCCCGGGCCAGGTGGTCACCTGATTCCTTTGTTCTCCAACCCTTCAGCTCTCACCTTGCAGGGGGGGAAGGGCCCAGGCCATCAGTTGCCAGGAAACAGGGTGTCGGCCATTCTCTGTGTCCAGATCCCTGCACACACCTGCCCTCTAGGGCTCTGCAATGATCATACACCCTTACCCCACCACCTAGATACTTAAGAACTGCATAGGGGAAACTGAGGCACCCCCACACTATTCAGAGGAAACATTAAGAACAGGCCCACTTCGTCACACAGACCCACAGCTGCGGGGCCCACACCCTCTGGGGAGCAGTTAGCATGGGCTTTCTGGGGGCTTTCATAGCATGCCTGCCATTTCTGTGGTGGTCCTAATGACTATGGTTTCACAGCATGACAGTGGTCATGATTCTGAACCCCCCCCAGGGGAATTCTGCACCACTGCACAAGGCAGAATTTGTGCAGAAATTAATATTATGTGCACAGAATTCCCCCCTCTCCCCCCAGAAATGGGCTGCAGAGCTGCTGGCTGCCATGAGGGGGCTGCTGGACTTAGCAGAGCCCAGCTCGCAAGTAAAAGACACTGTGCGGGGTGTGGTCGGGGGGGGGAAGAGGGGAGCTGGAGGATTCCCAGCAGCTACAATTGCCAGCCCGACTTGAAGGAGGGAAGCGGTGTGCAGGAAACTCCATGCAAGCCTGGGACCCAGGATCAGGCTGTTTCTCTCTCTGGATACCTTAGTTTTGGGGGGGCAGGGGGTGTGAGTGTCTGGACTGGGGGGGCCCCGTAGCTAGGCTCTGGGGGGATGGGGTGGGGGTGTTTGGGGGGGGGGGGCCCCCGGAGGGGGGGGCGGGGGGGGGGGGGGGGGAAAAAGAGGTTGGGTGTTTGTTTGGGTTTTTTTTACCCCCCCCTCGGGGGGGTTTTTTTGGTGTGGGTTTGTTTTTAGTTATTTTTGTTGTTAGGTGGTTTTTAAAAAAATTACCAAAATAATGGAAACTGTTGTGATTATATAGTGTTATTTTGACAAATAAAATATGCAGAATTTTGCAGAATTATAAAAATCTTGTGCGCAGAATTTTTAATGTTTTGGCGCAGAATTCCCCCAGGAGTAGACTCTGCTCCAGAGTGTCCAACTTTCCACTCTGTCCTGACTTCATTCCCCATTTTAAACTAGGAACCCAGCTCTGGGGGCCAGGCATGGGGGTGGGGCTGGACCCGCCTTTCCAGAGTCCAGTACCGTGGGATTGTGGTGTTGGCTCCTAGTGGCACCTCCATGGGTCCGTTTCTTCTCCCCACACTTGCAGACGTCACCGGCAGCCTCCAAAGCAAACACCACCGGGGCAACAGGAGTCACTCCAGCCGCTGCACTGATGCATTCACAGACCGAGCCTCGGCGTTAAAGTAACTCTCCAGTTTATTGAACGTGCCAGCACCACTCATGCACCCCACATCCTGCCCCCACACACGTTTACTGGGCCCCGTGTAATTCAGTGGAGGGGCCGGTCTGCCCTTCGGCTGTTTCATCGTCCTCCTCGCTGCGCTAGCATCCTGCCACGTGGCCAGTGCTCTCATAACTGCAGGGAGGAAGCCCGAGCTGCCACCCTGAATCCCAGGGCTTCCCAACCCTGCTACTGATCGGAGCCCGCCCCCACCCGCACGTGCAGCAGGGAGCCCCCCAGCCCAGCAGGGCTCAGAGCGAGCCATTCATACCACCAGCCAAAGCCGCAGGAGGGGTGCAGCGTTTACTAGATGAGACTGTGTCTGGGGGAGAGCAGTGAAGCCATGCCACATGCAGCCAAGTGCCAGAGACAAGGGGGCTACTGAAATCCCAGCAGGGCCCACTGAGCCCTAGAACCAAACCACCAGCCTCCAGCACAGCCCAGGTCATTCCAGATGCTCTCTTCTCATTATGCGACAGAAGGGCCCAACTCCCCACGTCCTCCCGGTCCCTTCCAACCCCACCATGCCTGTCTGCCCCGAGCAGCCTCTGTGTGAGCCCGTCGCCTCCCGCTGGGGGCTCAACTGCTGCCAGTTTGCTGCAGCAAAACCAGGGACTGGACCCGACCCAAGGACTTTCAGACAAACAGACCCACCTAGCCTGGTATCCTGCCCCCAACCCCAGCCCTGCTGCCCTGGATCAGAGCAATGGACCCATCTAGAGTGACCAGATGTCCCAATTTTATTGGGACAGTCCCGATTTTGGGCTCTTTTTCTTATATAGGCTCCTATTACCCCCCGCCCCCTTTCCCGATTTTTCACATTTGCTGTCTGGTCACCCTAGGCCCATCTAGCCTGGTATCCCTCCCTCTCCCCTCCCCCACTGCCCTGCGTCAGAATAATGGGCCCATCTACCTCAGTATCTCCCCCCTATTTTCACACTGCCCTAAATGAGACCAGGGGCCCATCTAGCCTGGTCTCCCGCCTCTGACGGTGCCCCAAACCAGCTGCTTCAGAGGCAGGCAAGACTCCTCTGACAGGCACTAATCTTCCCCCGTGGGCAAGAGGGGGGATTTCCTCCTGAGCCCAGGGCCTGGCTCATGCACTGAGGGGTGAGGGTTGGCGTTTGAGCAAGACTCTCCAGGCAGCCCACAGCAGACAGAGTGGCTGGGCTAGAGAGATGCTGGGCCTGGGGCCTCCGGTGACCCGCAGCCCAGTGACCCCGTCCGCAAGCTGCCCCTTCCCCCCCCCCCCCCCCGATGCTGCCCTGTGAGAACCTCACCCTCCGGGCATGGCTGGCATTGCCAGCGGGGCCCTGGCTCGGCCTAATTGCTTTCCTGACTCAGAGGGCATGAGGGTGAGGTCAGGAGGGCCCATCCCTTACGGGGTCCAGCCACCTACTCAGAAAAGCCCCCTCTCCCCCGAAAGGGCCACGGAGCAAAGAGGGGGTCCCTCGGAGTGGGACCCAAAGGCAAACCCACCCCCATCGTGCACACCGCCCCCCCCCCGGCACGCCCCGGCGGGCTCTAATGGTAGTGGTTATTCATGGTGTTGAGGTGGGAGGCAGCCATGGCGCTGAAGGGGGCGGGGGGCTGCAGGCCGTGGCCGGGGTAGAGGGTGGGGGCGGACCCCGGCCAGTAGGAGAAGCTGGCGGGCGTCACCCCCGAGGCCATGAGGTTGAGTTTGGAGATGCCCGAGAAGGGCAGGGGCGCCAGGTTGCCCTGGAGCTTGTAGAGGGCGTGGTCGGGGGCGGGGGGCTGGCAGACCTGGGCCAGGCCCCGGAAGTCGAACTTGTAGGCGTAGCGCTTGCCGTGCACCTTGGTCATGATGCTCTTGTCATAGTAATAACGCAGGGCCCGGCTCAGCTTGTCGTAGTTCATATTGGGCTTGCTCTTGCGCTCGCCCCAGCGTCTCGCCACCTCGTCCGGGTCGATCAGCTTGAACTCCCCGTTGGCGCCCTCCCAGGCGATGCAGCTCAGGTTGGCGCGGTCCGACAGCAGCTCCAGGAGAAACTGCCACAGCTGGATCTGCCCGCTGCCTGCCGGGCCAAGCGGCAGGCGGTTAGCGTGACTGCCCCCGGCGTGGGGGGGCCGAGGCCGCAACCTGCCGCATCTCCCCGGGGCAGACGGACGTGGGCTCTTCAGCCGGCCCCTCCCCAGCCCCCGGGGCTCGCGTCCGTCCCTGGCAATTGCCCTGAGCCAGGCTCTCAGGGTTGGGCCCCTAGGTCAGGCGCTGTAGATGCGCCATGGACACATGGGGCCCTGAGCGGGAGCCCCCCGGCACCACACTGATCGTCCATTTCCACAGCGCAGCGGGGGGCGGGGGCTGGCGCTGGACACGTCTCCCCCCGCCCCCCGAACGTCTGGAGAGCTGCCCCGAGAGCAGCGCGTTGGTGGGGACGCCCCGGCCGTGCCCAGCCCAGGAGTTACGGGCACGGGCTTCGACGGTGATCGCCCGTGTGCCCGAAAAGCCCCAGAGCCGCTGCTCCCTGGTGCTGCCCTCTGGGGAGTCCTGGGGAGGGAGGTGACCCGCCTTGCCTGCCCCAAGTCACTGCACCCCGTAACTGGGAGCGGGGCCAGTGCCCTGGGCTGGGGAGCAGCCAGCCCTGCGTGGACAGGTCCCAGAGAAACACGTCCGGCCCATCCCCAGCAGGGGGCTGCCCCCAAGTGGAGCGAAACCAGCAATATTGTTATTGAGAGACACGGCAGGGGAGGTGATCTCTTTTGTTGGACCAGCTTGTGGTGGGGATGTGAGGTGTTCGAGCCCCAGGGAGCCCTTAATGCAGGTGGAATGGAGTGCTCAGTGCACGTACTTAGCACATGTTGTAAGGGCCCATTGAATTGTCTCATTAGGCTTGGTAAGGCAACCCCCATCTTTTCATGTACTATGTACATATACCTTCCTACTGTATTTTCCACTCCATGCATCTGAGGAAGTGGGTTTTAGCCCACGAAAGCTTATGCCCAAATAATTTGTTAGTCTCTAAGGTGCCACAAGGACTCCCTGTTGTTTTTGCTGATACAGACTAACACGGCTGCCCCCCTGAAACCATTCAATGGGGAGGGGCTGGTTAAGATCTGTGCAGTCAAAAAGACGGGGGGGGGGCTACTGGGTGACAGATTGTTGTAATGAGCCATAAACCCAAGGTCTCTAGCAGGCCGAGCAGAGTTACGAACTGAAGCTCCCCTGCTCTGTCTTTTCAAAGTGTTGTACAGGTTCCCTTTGAGGACCAGGACAGACCGGGGCTCAGACATGGAGTGATCACGGTTGTGTTCACCCACGGGTGACAGAGTGGTTTTGTCTTTGATCATTTTCCTGTATGAGTTCATTCCAGAGCGCAGGGACTGTCTGGTTTCACCCACATCACAGTTCGGGGGGCACTGGCTGAGACACACCACATGCTGTGGGGGGCGTGTGCGGGACCCATGGATCTTGAAAGGTGTGTTGTGCCGGGTGCTGATCATTGTAGCAGTGGAGAGATGAAAAAGACAGAAACACCCTGTCACTCGCAGGTGAACACTTTTCAGTGCGATCACCCCGTGTCTGGACAGAGACTCTGGATTTATGGCTTATTACAACAGCCCGTAGCCCCCTCTGCTTGTCCTATGACTGCGGAAGTGTTAACCAGCCCCTCCGCCTTGAATGGGCCCTTACGACATAAGACTCTTCCTTTGTGTCTAGCTGGGACGCTGGGAGAGCCTTTCCCAGCCCTGAGAGGGCCCTGTGCGTGCGGCTGGAAAGCTCGTCTCTGTCCCCACCAGGAGTGGGTCCAATAGCAGACCTCACCTCCCCGGCTGTGTCTCTCCGACACCCTGGGGCCGACGGGGCTGCGACAACACTGCAGACAACAAATATTATTCACATTTCTATGGTGGCCACGCTGCGCCCCCGGTCAGTGCTGGACGAACACCTAGTGCAAGCCAGTCCCTGCCCCCAAAGCCTGCAAATAACTCAGCAACAAGAGGTGCTGGGGGGGGGGGGCAGGAGGTCAAACACCGCAGGAGAAACAGAGCCACATACATCAACAAAACGGCCCCTGTAACATCCCTCTGCGTGCGTGTGCGTGTGTGAGTGTAACATACCTGTGTGTGCCTATGTGCGTGTGCCTGTAACATGCCCGTGTGTGTACCATGCCCCTGTGCGTGTAACATACCCGCGAGGTGCTGCGTGCGAGCACTGGGCACCCGGGTGTCCCTGTTTCTGTGTGCGCCCCTCCCGCACAGACTGCGGCTCCTACCACAGCAGGTCCCCACCAGGCCAGTGACCCGGGATGCTGGAGATCGCAGGAGACAGAGCCTCCCGGGAGTGGGGTCTCACCCGGGGGCTTCCACACATTTTACTTGGGAGACCCTCCAACCACATTTCGCCTTTTTGTGGCCCCCACTCAGGGTTCTAGCTGCGGGGAGGCCAGCATCCTCCTCCTCGCCGTGCCAAGGCGACGCCCTCTGCCCCAGCACCACCCCCCGAATGCTGGCCCAGCACCAAGGGCAGGCACTGGGGGGCTGGAGAGCGAGTCTGCCCCTCGCTCACCCCGCAGCGGTGGCTCTGTCCCGGGGCTAGGCCCAGCTCCCCGCTCCAGGCCTTGCAACCTGGTGTAAACCTGAGAGGAGCCGGGCCCAGCCCTGGACGACAGCAGCTGCCACTTTGGGGTGAGTGCAGGGGGGTTCACTCTCCGACATCCCCCCGCCCCCCAGGGCTTCCCCTCTGCACTGGGCCTGCGACCCATCTGGAGCCTTCAGCGAGCCACTGCTTGGGAAACTCTGGCCTAGACGGTGGAACTCCCTGCCGCAAGACAGAAGAGACCCCAGGCTTCAAAGTGAATGCTTATCTCCTCTCTGTGACTTAGTTTCCCCTCAGTCAGCTCTTCACACAGAGACAACTAGCATACCCCCCGCCACACAGCCACCCCCCACGTCCCCAGAAACCAAACTACCTGTAAGCTAATCACGTCTTTCCTTCTGCAGGCGGGGAAGGACGAGAGAGACGGTGATTGTTATTTCTACCCAAAACACGCGGGAGGGGTCAGGCACTGCCAGGTGGCAACAGACAGACAGAAGCTAAACTCCAGTGGAATTCAACGGGGATCTTCTCTGAGCTGGGACTGAGCAAAAGTGATAAAGGGTCTGAGGACTGGGCATGTGCGTGTGTGCGTGTGTGAGAGAGAGAGAGACAGAGAGATGGACGTGTGTGTCTGTGTGCATGTGATGGACGTGTGTGTCTGTGTGATGGATGTGTTCATATGCACGTGATGTTTTGTGAGAGAGACGGATGTGAGTGTGTGATGGTATGTATGTGTGCCTGTGATGTGTATGTCTGTGTATGTTATGGATGTGTGCGTGAGATGATCTGCGTGTGTGTGAAGGATGGATGTGTCTGTGTGCATGTGACTTGTGTTGGTGTGTGATGGTTGTGTGCATGTGATGTGTGTGTGAGAGAGAGAGAGATGTGTGTGCATGTGATGTGTGTGATGGATGTGTGTGTATGAGATGTGTGTGTGTGTGATGGATGTGTGTGAGGAGTGTGTGCATGTGACGTGTGTGTGTGATGGATGTGTGTGTCTGCATGCATGAGTTGTGTGTGTGTGATGGATGTGTGCGAGGGGTGTGTGTCATGTGACGTGTGTGTGTGTGATGGGTGTGTGCGAGGGGTGTGTGTCATGTGATGTGTGTGTGTGTGATGGGTGTGTGCGAGGGGTGTGTGTGTGTGCATATGATGTATGTGTGATGGGTGTGTGCAAGATGGATGTGTGAAAGGGGTGTGTGTGTCTGCATGCATGAGTTGTGTGTGTGTGATGGATGTGTGCGAGGGGTGTGTGCATGTGACGTGTGTGTGTGCGAGTGATGTGTGTGTGACGGATGTGTGCGAGATGGATGTGTGCGAGGGGTTTGTGCGTGTGTGGGGGGGTGCATATGATGTCTAGGGCACCCAGCTGGGTGGCCGCCCAGTGCATACGCGTGTCTCGGTGTGGGAGCTGGGTTTGAAAGCGTCTCCTCAGGGAACTGCCAATGGCTCCGCGTCTCGGGAGCCGGTTGTGTCAGTCTCCCGTTACTGGCAATACCTGCAGGCCGGGCGCACTGGGTTCGACGGAAGAGGCCCCCGGCTGCCTGGCGAGCTTTGCACTCAGCTCCTTGGGCAGGCACCCTGATAGTCAACCCTCCATGGCTAGCAAGCAGAGCCAGCTGAGGAGCGAGTGACCCAGCTCCGAAAAGAACCCGCCAGCCCCCTGAGACAGGTCCCTGTCCTCTATCCTGCCACCAGCCTGCCCGCCTGCTAGCCACCATGCTTCAGCCCCACGGCAGAGCGCTGGCTCACACAGACCCAAAGCAGACAGCTGGGCACAGGCACGTGCCTTCAGCAGCCACGAGCCAAGGCAATTGCTGAGGAAGGAATCCCCTTCCCGTGGCGGGCAGGAGCCAGGAGCCGGAGTGGGAGTGGGGTGGGGGGCAGAAAGGCCAGTGCAGTTCAGCCTCCCAGCCCCACAGATCCCCCCCAGTCCCACACACTGACCCCTCATTGGAGCCTGCTCACCGCTGCACCCAGAACCCCTGCACACCCCAGCATGGAGGGGTCCCCCCCAGTTTACTGAAGTTGGTGGGACAATACGCAGCCGTCCCACCAGCAGAGATCCCTGGGCCCTGCAGAGGGGGCTCTGTGGGATTTGGGGTGCAGAGGAGGTGCCACCTGTCAGGGCTGGTCTAGGTTTACTTGGTCCTGCCGCAGCGCCGCTAGATGACCTCTCCGGGTGCCTTCTCTGATTCTGTGTCACTGGTCCCCATCCCCCTCCTCACAGGAAGGGGGCAGCCTCCATGCAGAGGGTCCCTCCGGGGCACAGAGCTCAGCAGACCAGCAAGCCCCAGGCCACGCTGCATGGACTCATGGGGTCATATTGACCCCTGGGGACATCTGCACTGAAGCCAAGGCTATTACACCAGGGAGGAACTTGGTCCATGAGTTCTTGCTGGAGCAGGTGTTGGCAGGAGGCTGGAGCAGGCGGCCGGCCCGGCCTCCCATCCCATTCGGTGGCTAACATGGGACACA